ATCATTTCATCGCCACTTTTCATACCTTGAAACATGACCGCACGAAAACCAAAACGATAGCCTAACGGTGGTTCGAATACTGGCGGTACCGAGCACACCGATTGCATCTGTGGATTTATGCATCCATTTGATTTTATTAATGCCACCGAATTTAGAATCTCACCACTTGAACCACGTCGTTGCAACGAAACGTCTGCAACTCTACTACCATTCCATCCTATAGAGCCAAAGAGCAACATTTTTAATTAAAATAACACGGTTTTTGGAAATCGAAAGAAAAATTTTTTACCATCGCCAGCTTTTACTTGAGCTCGAAGCATTAATTCTTCGCCCAATTGAACAAAGCCACCGGCATCTAAACTTTTCGTAAATCCACTACCCGATTGACGATACAATCCAAGCTGGGTACGAAGATGTTGTTTCGTTCCGCCATGGGCAAATACAGCTGCATTTCTTGCTTGGCTGACATAGAAAAAAAATCGAAATCATTTTATTTGAAACTCCAAAGTAAAACAAAAAATAATTACCCCGTTCGCGATACACCAAATCTAAACGCATGAGTTCGGCTAACCACTCTCTCTTGTATCTTACACTTCAATGTTAGCAAACTGTCATCAAGTGATTTCATACCGAAAATTTGTGGAAATCTTAAATTGACGCAAAGCTCTTTGGCACCGCATGCAATAATTCCGCAACGTTGAAAATCGGTATTTGCTATGCTCAAAACCAATCGAACACCAACCAAATGTAATTGACAGCGTGGATCGATTGTGTCCAAATCGATTATCGGTAAATTTTCAATGAAACTCTGTACACCAATGTTCGCCTGAAAATAACCACCATTCCCTTCCAAACACTGCAAATTATTCACCGATATGTGCAAAGGGCTCGACCGCGTATTCAGATATAAATTTGAATTTCGTAGATGTTTTGATTGTTTTGGCTTTGAGTATTGATAGCCTTCATTTGTTTCATCGGACGGCGGCAAGTATTGATTGTCTGGTACCTGAAATGAATTAAAAATTACGTTTTTGATTAGATGGCTTGATTGTACAACCATTTCATGGCAACATAATTGAACTTGAAGTGTTGCTTACAGTTTCGGGTGGTAAATAATTGGGCGGTGGTTCAGTTTGCAGAGGTGGAAATTCTTCGAGAAATGGCGGTAAATAACCGTCTGTAACAAAGTCATCTGGTGGATGAATCACTATCGGACTTTCAGTCGATGGTGGCAAATATGTATTTGATGGCTCTGCTAAAATATTTTTTATTGGATCACGAGATTCAATGATTTTTCTAATTAATTTTTTTCGGACGTTTAAAAATGAACCAAATTGTGCTCTTTATTAGCTTATTTTTTTTGAAAAATCACCCGGATACGGATAAATTAAAATGTCAGAAAATTTCGGAAACATTAAAATCTACATCATCTTCTTTCGTTCAATTCTATTGAATTCGTCAGTTTTGACTTGAAAAATGAATTTCCTATTTTGCAAATTTTATTGTGTATTGATGCCATTGTTCGAATCGTGACTAGAAAAAAATGTGTTCCATTTAATACCTTTGTTAACGATAATTTCTGGCCGAAATGTTGAAGTCGGTGGATTTGGTGCTGGACTGGGTAATTGATGCGATGGCGGATTATAATTATATCCATTAAATCCTCGAAAATGATTGTTACTTATTGAGCCGGCCAATGATTTAAGATGTGACACATCGGCTCTAATGCGACCACAAAAAATCACCGTAGCAATAAAAAGATTTGTAGAAAACATACTTTTCAAAAAGACACCTATACTTTTTGGTCAAACTCTAAATGGCTAATTGCTTCACATTATCCACAAAAGAATACAGAACTATACACTTCAATTAACTTGGTTAATGCACATCAATTTCAAAACTGACCATTGGTAACAAATAATTGGTGTTTTTATACGCGCCCACCAAAACATACACACAGACATTCAAGCGGGTGCCTTGCTTTCCTTCACGATCAAAATGAATTCGTGTCAAAAGAATGCTCAATAATAACATTGTAATCCAGATGAATGTGGCCAAATTAATCAAAAAGAAACTAAAAATGTGTTTAACTGCACAGACGGATTTGGGTGACATTTAATGATTTGTTGAGTGTGAAATTGAATTGCATTGTCTTAATGAAAGTCGTTGCCCTATTTC